AAAGAGTCAATAATCTGCTACCCCACTCGGACACCCACAAGTCTATGGGTACAGGTGACATTGATGATCTAGCTGAGGGAATTGAGTGCAAAATTTGCAAATTTCAGCAAATTTGCAGATGACACGAAGCTGGGTGGAAAGGGAGGAAGAGTTGATCAGCTTGAGGGTTGGAAAGCTGTACAGAGGGATCTGGACAGGTTGGATTGATGGGCCAAGACCAACTGTATGAGGCACAAGAAGACCAGATGCCAGTCCCCACACTTTGGTCACAACTTCCCCATGCAACGCTACAAGCTTGGGGCAGAGTGGCTGGAGAGCTGCACAGCAGGAAAGGATCTAGGGCTGCTGGTCGTCAGCCAGCTGAACATGAGCCAGCAATGTGCTGAGGTGGCCAAGAAGGCCTCCTGGCTCATATCAGGAACAGTGTGCACAGCATGAGCAGGGGAGTGATCATTCCCTTGTACTTGGCACTGGAGAGGTTGCACCTCAAATACTGGTGAAAAGCCTAGAGCATAGGGACTGAGGGAGCTGGGGTTATTTAGTATGGAAGAGGGTCAAGGGAGACCTTATCAATCTCTATAGCTACCTGAAAGGAGGTTGTAGTGAAGCAGGGGTCCATCTCTTCTCCAAAATAACTACCTACAGAACAAGAGGAACTGGCCTCAAGTTGTGCCAGAGGAGGTTCAGATTAGACGTGAGGAAAAGTTTCTACACAGAAAGCGTTGTCAAGCATTGGAGCAGGCTGCCCAGGGAAGTGGGGGTGTCACCCTCCCCTGAAGTGTTCAAGCAATGTGTAGAATCATAGAATCATAGAATGCTTAAGGTTGGAAGGGACCTCTAGGGGTCATCTAGTCCAACCCCCCTGCACATGCAGGGTCATCTAGAGCACGTGGCCCAGGACTGCATCCAAGCAGGTTTTGAAGATCTCCAGAGAAGGAGCCTCCACAACCTCTCTGGGCAGCCTGTTCCAGTGCTCTGTCACCCTCACTGTTAAAAAAATTTTCCTTAAGTTCATGTGGAACTTTTGGTGTTTCAGTTTGTGGCCATTACCTCTAGTTCTGTCAGTGGCCACCACTGAAAAGAGGCCAGCTCCATCCTCTTCACTCCCTCCCTTGAGGTATTTATATACACTGATTAGATCCCCTCTCAGCCTTCTCTTCTCCAGGCTGAACAGGCCCAGCTCCCTCAGCCTCTCCTCGTAGGGCAGATGTTCCAAGCCCCTGATCATCCTTGTGGCCCTGCGCTGGACTCTCTCCAGCAGCTGCACATCCCTGTAGATGAGACACAGAGGGACATGGTTTAGGAGGATGGTGTTGAAAGGTTTATGGTTGGACTTGATGATCTTGAAGGTCTTTCCCGACCATAATGATAAGGTTGCATCCAAACATGATTCCATGATCGTACGAACAGGGAGGGGAAGGGAGGGGATGGGAAGCGAGCCTCAACTGAGCACACAACTCAGCCGCGGCTCATGGAGGAGCAGCCCAGGGCTGGGACAGAGGCGACAGGGCAGCAGCGCGCGGGGACCGCAGGGACAGCCGGAGGGCACCGCCGCCCCGCGCGAAACGGCGCCTCCGCCCCCGCCGCGTGGGCGCCCA